CGTCATTGCCACTCAGCCCCAAACACCAAGTCCCAAAAGAGGTTAGAAGATGATTGTGAGCCAGGCGTGGCAGCGCAGGCCTGTATTCCCAGCACCTTGCGTGGCTGAGGCAGGAGGATTGCAAGCTCAAGCCCAGCTTGGGCAATTTAGCTACGTAGGAACACCCTACGTCCTCCCCACAAAAGGGGATGGGAGAGGGGTGGAAATAGCACAGTGTGAAGGTGCTGGGTTCAATCTTCAGTACTGCAGGGAAAAAACACCATAAAATTCCTTTATCTCCATGTACTTTTTTGGTAAAGTATAACAATTTGTGTTAATTAGATGGATATATTTGTACTGTGAAAAATGTCTGGCATTTACTACATGAAAAAGATACATTGGAACACTGTATCCAAAATAAAATATTTTGTTTAAATACTCTGTTTTGCATAGCTTTTAAAATATAGATATGTTCATATTTAAAAATTCTTTAATATTCACTAACTACAATTAAAAGTTTATAATGATACCGCTCTTAGATTATACACATACCTTTTTGTTATTGTATTGTTTTGCTTTGCTTTGTTTTTGTGGTACTGAGGATTAAACCCAAGCATTTTGCTCTGAGCTACAGCTGCATTCTAAGCTCTTTTTATTTTTAAATTTTGAGACAGGGCTTCTCTAAGTCCTTGCTACATTCAAACTTGTGACTCTCCCATCTCAGCCTTCCCGAGGGCTTTGTTTACAGATGTGTGCCACCACACTTGGCTAGAAATACATATATCTTAATACATAAAACTGGTTATTAAGACTTAAACTGCAGCCATATCATCAAGGTCTGAGAGAGACAGACACCAAATGGAGTGTCCCAGGCTGCCCTGGAAGTATCCTCAGAGTGAATGGTGGAGGTAGCTCTGGGACCCATGAGTCCTCTCTCCATCTCAGGAATGCAGACAGTGGAGACAGAGGGCTTCGTGAGAACATTTACATGAAGAGCTGTGCAAAGGAGGGCAAGCAGCAGGGAAGACAGGGTGGAAGACTTCTTCAAATGCAGTTTGTGTTCTTTGGAGTTGGTGCCTGATTTACACCAAGAAAGCTTGGGAAAAACAGAGGCTCACACAGGGCAGAGAGAGTGGTGGCTGCATCTGAGAAATACAAATGCTCCTGCTGACCACCTTGATCATGAATGGGTGCTTCTTGCAGACGTTGGCCAGGAGGGTGAGAGCCAATTGGCAGCTGCTCTCTGTCCTTTGAAATTCAAAAGGGGGCAGAGAGGGCCAGGGCCACCATTGCCATCGGAGAGTCTTAGTGAGGGGATCCTCAAAGGTCCAAGGAGATCAGGGTGTGGCAAAGCTGGCTGGGGAAGTAGGTGTGACCTGTTAATTATAAGATCCCGGGACACATGCGCAGAGCAGTTTTTCTCCTAAGAACTCCAGCAGGTTTTCCACAGGATGGCCTGGACCTTACATCAGCCTAAGGAGTGGATGATACAATGTCCACACCGAGTTTTTGCCACTCTAGTCTCTCTCGCTAGAGGCTGCCCTCACCCTGAAGGCTGTACTTCTTTTCCTACTTTAACTTGGCCCAAACTCGCTCTCCAAAGCCTGTTTCTTTTCTTACCTTCAATAAACCTTTGCTCCTGTTTGCATTTGTCTTGCCTAACTCTATGCAGAAAAGAGTTAAGAAAGACAGAAGGAACCTAGAAACCACCTCTAGAAGGAGACTCCAGCACCCCATCATCACATATTGAGGTCTCCATCAGTCGCTCACATCTATTCTCCATCCCACTTTGACTTTGCGGCACCAGGAAGTGAGGAAGCAGATGGAAAGAAAACCAGAGCTCCCTGCCTCCCCACTGTCAGGAAAAGAAGTCCTTCCTTTGAAAAAAATAATTTCTGATTGGACATTGCACTTTGTACGGCAGGAAAATTGAGGAGCCTGCCATATTCCCAGAGGTGGGAGAGGAAAAGCTCCCACTAAATGTACTTTGAAGGGGCAGAGAGAAACAACATAAAGTCGAGGTTCTAGTACATTCCTTTGTTATGCTTTATGGAAAAATATCCCGGAAGAACATGCACCAAACTCTGGCTCTCTCCAGAGGGAGGGGACAGGGGTGTTGTTCACTTTTGCTCTTATCTATTTCCAATATATTTGGATTGTGTAAACAGAGCACGTCTACTTTTGTAATCAGGAAAACAGTAATAATAAATGTGGCCATCTAAGATATTAGGAGGGAAAATCATTGTCTTTGATATCTCAAAGGTTAAACAACAAAAGAGTAAAATGTTAGAAAGGGGCAAGCTGGAAAATGAAGTAGAAATCACTATAGCTAGCATTTGTAGAGTGCATCACATTTTATAAAATGTTTTTATTTTAATTATCTCATTCAATTGTTACAGCAGTCAGAGTCCTGCATTTGAATTGTTTTTCCACTGTGCAGATGCAGAAATAGAGCATTGTTAATTGCTGGTTACTTAACTCAGCCAATAAACCCACCAGTGGAGAGAAGGCTCAAATTCAGATCTTCTGGCTTTAAGTCTCATATTCTTTCCATTTCATAATACAGAGTTCTACAGTATGAAGATATTTAGTTGTTAGGAGATACTCTCCTGGATCACTCTTTTTTGAGACATTATGTAGTTCAGGCTGGGCTTGAACTCACTATGAAGCCCAAACCCTCAGAGATCCTCCTGCCTCTGCCTCCAGAGTACTGGGACTTCAGGTACTTGCCACCATGCCCAGCTGTCTTGGATCACTCTTGATGAACATCCTATACATGATACTACATGATAGTTACATAAAAATCCATATGACACAATAAAATCATACGAATACGCTCTGCATCGAAAGTACTCAAAAGGGGCTGTCCTCGGTGGTATAGCATTTGTGTAAGGCCACATGCATTTGGTCCCCAGCTGCCTCCCCCACCAGAAAAGTCCTCTTTGAACTATATTCCACTTTGCCCTCCACACTTCGGAATCTTTATGATCGGAACACCTCTCCTCGCGGTCAAGCTGCTGTATCTGCTGATTGTCGCACCTACCCACCATCCCATCCTTTCCCCAGTTTTACAGTTTTGAATTTTCATTATCTTTGGTTTTTAATTTTATTCCATACCTTGTCATGTTTCAAGTGTTTCTGACTCTTTTTTAGAGGAACTCACAGATTTTCCCATAATTCATTTTCACCCCCACCCCCCTTAGTTCAGACATATAATTTCCTAAGTAGGCGGCTGCCGATCATCCATTTTTTAAATTACCCTTCCCTGGAACCTTCCTTGACCAGCTGTGACGCAGCTTTCTAACCTGTGTCCCACGCTTAGCAGTGTACTGTATCACCACTGCCTAGACATCAGTCTTCTCCAAGCCACGCGTCAAAGAGAACAACCTGGAGAAACTGCCTCTCACATCGACATACTCTAACATAGCGCTTGGCAAAATACTAATTGTCCAATAAAAGTGGAATGAATGAAATTTTTTTTTTTTTTTTTTTGCAAAGGCTTCGATGCTGTGCAAGTATACCGTGGAAGCATGTGAAACAGGGGGCGCTGGGAGATTTGGAGGCGCCAGGATCCAGGGTTGTGACCCAGGTAACAGAGAGCGCAGAGAGAAGGGAGTGATCCTGACCGGGAGGCACAGCTGCTGGGAAATGCGCTGCCCTCTGACGCTGTGCCACCCAGGCTCCCAGAAAAGCGACTCAGAGACCTGGCTGTGGAGAGCTAGTGGCGTGAGGCTCAGGGCTCGCCCAGGCCCTGGGGTTGCGGCAGGATGACCCCGCCAGGGTCTGGAGTGCAGTGGTGCCACTGTGGCAGTGGCCTTGCAAGGAAGGCCCTGGCAGCCCTGTGAGGTCGCAGGAGCAGCTCTCCACTCAGGTGGAGCCCTGAGACCCCAGCGGCGGAGGCAGGGCGGGCCCTTCCCCCCCAACCCCAATCTGCTGGCTCCGGGGTTTGCAGGAGGGGTGAGCAAGCTGTGAGTTCCAGGGGGTCCTGCTACGTCCCCCACCCCTTCCACAGGCTTGTCTGGCTACAAAGGCACTGTGCCCCGTCCGCCTGCTCTAACTGGGTGGGTGCTGCCCTTCTGTGCACAGAACAACGTTGTTGTCACTTGCACACCACTGCGGGCCGCAGGACTCAGGGCAGCGCAACCGCAATGCGTGGGATGCAGGTGCGCATGCGTGTGCACAAAACACCCGCAGAGTCCAAGAGCTGCTGAGCGCTCCACTGTGTGTGCTGTTCGGCTCTGTATCACTTGGTCTCTTGACACTGTTTAATCTGATTTCTTTTTCTCTTTTTCCAGTACTGGGGATGGAACCCGGCCTTCGAGCAGAGCTGCATGCCCAGCCCACTTTTTAATTTTTGAGGTAGTTTTGCTAAATTGTTAAACTGCCCAAGATGAGATTGAATTTGCAATTCTCCTGCCTCAGCCTCTTTATAACAGGCCTGGACCACCAAGCCAGGGTAAACTGATTTCAATTACATAAAACTAGAGGGGGCTGTGCAGTTTATTTGGGGCTTGGTCTGCAGTACTCTGGGCCCTCCCATAAGGTTAATTCCTCTACTGGATAACATAATCAACACATGAATTAAGAACCGTTTGAGTACCGCTTTCTAGGGACTAACGGAGGAAGATATAACACCTTGGCTCGGATTGAGACTTGTCTGTTAAGAGGGGGTTCCCAAACTTTGGTTGCAATGAGATTGCCAGGAGGCCTCTTAAAATACAGACTTCTCCATTGGCAGGCTTGTGGGGGGAGGGCGGAAATCTGCCTTTACAACGCCTCTGGCTGTGGCTGCCACCCCCGGTCCAGGGGTTACCCTTTGAGAACCACTGCTATAAATTAACACCAAACTAAGTTCTAAGAACTTAGTTCAAGACAAGCTGACCTGAGGGAGAGATTTATAATCATTTCATTCATGGCTTTGTCCCTGGCTCTTAGAACAATGCCTGGCACATAATAGATGCTCAATAAGTATTTGTTAAATGAATACTTGAACTGCGTAAGAAACAACAAGAACACAGACATGAGAGGATCCTCCTTGGAGGGATTTTATGATACCTTCACAGAGGAGGCAATATTGGGGGGTGAACAGGAACTTTTAATTACAGAAGAGTGTTCTAGCCAGAGGGCACGGAGGTGCAAAAAGAATACAGTATGCTTGACACACAGACATCTCTCCCTTCCCATTCTCTGGTCACTTCATGTCCGACCACTTCCATCCATGAGTACTTCTGCCCATTTTTTTTTCTTTTTGGTACCAGGAATTGAACTCAGGACCTCATGCTTGCCAGGCAGGTGCTGCACCACTGAGCTACATCCCCAGCCCCATTCTGCCCCTTTTTGACAACAAAAGTAGTGATCTCTAACATTAACTGGTGTGTAAGAATCATTCAGGATGCTGATTAAAAACAGATTTCAGGTCACACCCAAGTCTACCTATCCAGAGTTTTAAAGAGAGGGTGGGAATCCGTGTTGGTATGAGCATCGAGCCATACTCCTTCAAGGTATTCTAAAATAGAGTTCAAGTACCTCATTGTATAGATGTGGTAGGGTTTTCCCCCTTCATTATGGGGATTGAACCCAGGGCTTTCACCTCTTTACATTCAAAAAAAAATTTGAAACAGGGTCTTGCTAAGTTGGTAAGATACACAGGCTGAAATCAAGCTTATGATCCTCCTGCCTCAGCTTCCTAGAGTGCTGGATTACAGGCATGCACAACCCCATCTGGCCACATAGCATTATTTTCAATCACCATTTGTACTCTGTGAGAAAGGATCACAGTCTTAGTGGCTTAACATAACCCATCTTTGTTACCCCAGTTGCTGTCCATCAGGAGTCTGCGGATGGCTCAGCTGGGCCCTCTTCTCAGGGTCTCACCGGCTGCCGTGAAGGTGTTTGGGGGCTGCTTAGCAGAGAACACGCTTTTCCCAAGCTTGTTTGTGGGGGGCACAACTCATTTCCCAGGGGCTGTGTGGCGAGGCCCCCAGAGGGTGCCCACATGTCCCTGGCACGTGGCCCTGTCCACAGAGAGCTCTGTGTAGAGCTCTCTGCAGGCTGCATGATGTCGCTTCACATCTGCTGTGTTCTTCTGGCTGCCAGGCAGCCACAGGGTCTGCCTTCTCTCAGAGGAGGGGTCACTCAGCCTGCAGTTCACAGGGCTCGCTGTATCACACATCTACCACGATAGATGAGAAAACGAATGCTCCCGACCCCCAGCTTGCTGTGGTCTCAGGACAGTGAGACACAAATGTAGAAGGAAAAGACATAGTTTTTCCTTCCAAAAATGGGAAGAAATATTCCTTCTACCCTGCATACTCCTCAGCTTTCAATTGCCACATATTGCTCTAAGCCAGAAACCGACAAACATGAGCTGTAAATTCTCAGATTCCTGCTGTCTACTCAGGACTAATATTCCAATTGTAAATATTTTAGATTTTGTGGCTGTGTGGTCTCTGTTACAATTGCTTATCTGCTGATAAAACATAAAAGCAGCCATGGAGAAGATGCAGTGGATGAATGTGCTCCTATCTCAATGAATCTTTATTTGTGAAGCATTTTAACCCCCAAAAATATTACTCTCATTATGATTTTTTTCAGAGCCATTAAAAATGTAGAAAAGTCATTTTTAGGTCACAGGTCATACAAAAACAAGTGGTGGCCCAAGTTTGGCCTGCAGGCCATAGGTGGGCAAATGGTCAACTACCATGCACACTGTTGGCATTTATGATTTTTTAAAATAAAAATTAAGGAATCATAATGACATCTACTTCATAAAACTGCTACCTGAAGTCAAGATGATACCATAGATTTGCTACTTAAATTTTTTTTTTTTCCCAGCTGGATGTAGTGGTGCAGGCTTTGTAATCCCAGCACTTTGAGAGGCTGAGGCAGGAGGGTCGCAAATTTAAGCCCAGTCTGTGTAATTTAGTGACTGGGGAAGAACTTGTCTCAAATAAAGTAAAATTTTAAAAAAGGCCTAAGGATGTAGTTCAGTGTAAAGATGCTGGGTTCAACCCCTAGTACCACATAAATATTCTCAACTAACAAGTGTCCTGCTGGTCATATGTGACCTACATTTGACAAATATGTATCAGCAACCTATTATGAACGAAGTACTCTCAGAGACACCAAGGTTACAGTGGTATACAAAATAGAAGTGCTCTCTGCTCTCAGTGGGCTTACATTCTTTTGGGGCAGACAACTAATCAATCAGTAACTCTGTAGTAAGTGTTACAGAGAAAAATAGAGCAGAAGGCAGAGTGAGACAGGCAAGGAGTGTGGTAGTTAAGCTTATTTGTGTCAATTTGATTGGCTTGGAAGCTGTGCAGGGGCTGGATAAAACACACGGAGGCACAGCCTTGGGACCTATGTCTGGTTGCTGGCCCGTTCCTCTCTAATATTATTCCCCTGATCTACTTCCTGAGTCCCACGAACTAAGTATCTCTGCTCCGCCATGCCCTCCTGCCATGATGTTCCTGCCTTAGAGCCAGCTCACTATGAACTAACCCCCTGAAACCATGAGCCAAGTTAACATCTCCTTTCTCAAATTGCAGGTGTCGGGTGTTGTGTCTCAGCAATAGGAAATCTCACAGATATGGGGAGAGAGCACTGTTAATCTACGCTGGGTGGACAAGAAATACAAAAGTGACATCAGACAGAGGCTTAAAGGATATTCAAGAGAAAGTCAAACAGAGACTGGAAAGAAGAGCATTCTAGGATATGGGAACAGCAAGTATGAAGGCCCTAACTTCGAGGTCCCCTCAACCCATTTAAGAGTTGGCAGAAAGGCTTGGCATAGTAGTGTGCCCCTATTACCCCAGCACTTGGGAGGCTGAGGCAGGAGGATGATACGTCTGAGTCCCACATGGACAACTGAGTGAGACTGTCTCAAAGTAAAAGATAAAAAAGACTGGGATATAGCTCAGTGCTAGAGCAACCCTAGATTTGATTCTCAATACTGCCCGCTCACAACAGAATTGGCAGAAGACTAGGATTTCTGAAAAAGGGAGAGGAGAAGAAAAGCTTAGGGAGTAGGGAGTGCGCCCTTGCAAATCATTGTAATGCCTTGAGTTTCATCTCTGAGTAAGATGGAGAGCATCACACACTCTGAGCAAAGAAATGACATGGGCTGCCTCCTAGGAGATGTGCTGGGCGAGGGCGGGGAGATCTGCTCTGTGTTGTTCCTTGCCTCTGTGGGTTCTGGATCTGGGACGGGGGGTCCACGGCATTGTGCTCCACCCTTGTAAGCCTCCGGCTGAACTGAGCATGTGGTCTTTGCCTAGACACTGAGATCCCACAGCACCAGAGGGGTGGGAGGGAAGGGTGAGTCAACCAGTTGGAATCGGGTATGGAGGGAGGGTCACAGGCTGGATGTGCACTGGCTCAGGGGCCGGCCTTCTCATACAGCAGGTGGAGCCCTGGCTCCTGGCTCCAGCCCCCGCTGTCCTTTGGGCAAAAGGATGTTCTGCTTCAGTGGGTCAGCGGTGCCAGGAAGGCTAGTATCCTTGTTTACCTCTCCTCACCCCAGGTAAAGCCTTTCACCTGCTCATCCTGACTGTTTTGCGTTTTGAGAATTTCATTCATTTAATCTTGACAGAGTCGAGAGCACAGAAGTACATTGTTCCAATAGCCACCTCAATGCATTCTTTCTTTTTCTCATTGGTCAATGAAACTTCTTAGCCACATTTGTCCAGTGGTCTTTAAAAGCTATACCTCTCTCCTTGGCAAGTCTTTTCACACTGAGATTTATCTAAGTCTTGGTATGAACCCTATGTGAATTCATTTCATTCCTTTCCTTTTAATCATCAAATGTTAAGTGTCCCCTGGGCAGGGAGAACTTTACTTCCTAAGAAAATGCTGAAAATCATCTCCTTGATCTCTTCCCATTGCCACCTCATGTGCTCCAGGTCTTTCAGAGGTTGTCAGCCTTGGGTACTCTGTTACCGAAACAGCACACGGGCTAAGACAGGCTCAGCAGGGGACTGCTCCCACCACTTGCTGGAAGCTAGAGCAAGACAGCAAGGATAAACACTGGTGACCATGCAGCTGACAACCTGGTGGAGGGCAGCCTGGAGCTATGTTCAGGGCTATGCTTGGCAGTTGAGGACCTGGATACACACAGTTGGTACACACGGTGTGTGCTGCAACCCTGCTGTCACTGGGATGATACTGGTTTCCTAGCTGAAGTCACAGCCCTGGAATCAAGAGGCAAGGAGATTTGGGCAGGGCTTCCCGGTCCTGTGAAAGTTGTTTCCTGTGCGTTTCCTCCTAGTGACTCCTTTTGGTAGGTTGGGGGGCCCTACAGCATCGTTCTCTCTCTCGGCCTCTTTTCTTGTTTCCCTTTCCATGGTTTGTCATTATTCCTTTCACCGTACACTTCACACAAGCTCATGTGCCATTGGAAAAATGTGCTTCTAGACTTGTTTCATGGTACTCGACAGCAGCTGTGCCGAGCCCCGGGCCAGTTCTCATTTCTCCCAGTCTCTGTGTTTTACATGAAACACAGGGACACTACTGTGCAGCAGTGTACATCCGTGTCAAGAAGCCTTGTGCCCCTCACTGCTCCAGTCACACACTCGCTCCTTCATCCACCCTTGTGCCCAACCTTGGAGTGACCTTGCGGCCAGTGCTCTCCGAGACAGTCTTGCCCGCAGAGAGCGCGTTCTGTGTAGCAGTCAGGTCCTCAGCTGTGCATATGTCCTCCAGCGGCACTCATCCCAGCTCCGGAGCCACACTGTCCCTCAGGTAGCCACTAGCCATGTGCAGCCATTGAGTCCTGGAGATATGGCCGGTCCAAATTGAGGTGTGCTGGAAGTCTCCACTATACATAGTAACTGAAAAAAAAAAAAAAAAGACTCACTAACATTTCCTAAAAATGGATTACATGTTGAAATGATAGTGTGTAGTATATATTGGATTAAACTATCTCATTAAAAATGCATTTAATCCAAGGCCATGAGAAGATTTAATATTGTATATGTAGTTGAGATCATGTTCCTCTTGGATGACATTAGATAATCTGCTTATTCCTCTGTCATTCTCTCTTGCAACAGGAGGGAAAGCTTTCTCTGGGTACCACCAGCACTCTAACGTGTCACACTTACCATATTCTCCATAGCTGCCAGCTCATTCCTAAGATCTTTGCCAGCCTGGGACCTCTTGAGGGATGAATTGATAAACCCAGTGTGCAGTGTAGGGCTTGATATAAAACAGGTGGATGATAAGTATTTATTGAACGAGTGATCTAATTCTCTCCTTAGACTGAACTCGGGTGAGGCTTGGCATATTAAATTGGTAATGTCACCTAAGTATAAAATCTAAGAATAGTCACTAATAGGTACGTGAAATGCCCCACAGATAATTATAATTTTCAAAGTATGACTGCATTTCAATGACTCCTGTACATGACTTCTTTATTTTTAATTATTAACTTTCTAAGGGTGAGATACTTGGTAATACAATGCTCTCCCTACACACGTGGGATGCGTATCTATTTCAGGGTGCACACGAGTACAGCTGGATGCCATTGAAATTACAGTCCATGTGGTCAAACCTACCCATTTGCTGATAGGCCCAATGCCCAGATAAACCCTAATTAATTCTCAGAACTCTTTGGGGTATTAAAAAATCAACTGAGTCAATCAACTGTAAAACTGAAAAACAAGGAAGAGAAGGGTCACAATGTCTGCAGCCAGAAATACGCAGAATTTAAGAAAGCAAATAGGACAGGGTGGCAAAAAAGTAAATGCATTATAAAATATTTATGTAACATTTGACCCCTTGCTTTCATAATTTTGCTTCACGTCAGGACTTGGTTTTCTTTTATGCTTACCTCAGGCCTGAAGCAATTTGGTCAAGCTGAACATTTTATAGGCATGAAGTTAGTCTGGCCCTAACCCAACTTTATGGTTAGATGTTAGTTGAGGAGTATATTAGTGAAAATAGATTCATTGTCTCTCATGAAGTTTTATGAAATCAACACAAGACATCAAAGGGTCTGGTATCTAAAATTACAGAGCATATGTTTCATCAATTATTAACATAGAGGGAACCACTGCATCTAGATAAACCATAGGCTTCGCTAGTTAGTCAAATAGCCATGATTATCCTTAGTCCTATAGGTCATGTTTGGAAAACTGTCTAAACCCTTATTAACAAACAGTGGAAAAAGTAATGGATGTAAGTAAAGTGGTGCAGGGATACTCTGATGTTGCTGGCACTTACTATTTAAAGACTTGAAAGATAGTTAATTGGAGTAGTTATCTTATTCTGACCTCTAATCTGTCTTTCTTTTATTCAACTGTATAATTCAGTAAAATTTCACCATTTTTCATGTGGAAAGTCTTTGCTAAACTGCAGGTGGAAAAGAAATTAGTGGAAACTAAATAATGGCCTGAGAATCACAAGCGCCATTTTTTGGTTTTAGTCCTAGCCCATGTCCTAAGTATTCCTATCACCTTTCTAGAAATTTCTCTGAGTCCCTGGCTTTTCCTCCCTGCCTCCCCCATGTCATCTGCATTCTCCGCCTTGTACTTCATTACCCTTTGTCAACCTGACACTTCCTTGTTACACACTCCCATGTGGCAGCATGTACTGTTATTTATTAGTGGTACTAGGAATTGAACTCAGGGCCTTTGCACTGAACTATGTACCCGCCCCCCTGCCCCTTTCCTCCTTTTTTATTTTGAGACAGAATCTTATTAAGTCACCAAGTTTCCCAGGATGGGCTAAATTTTCTGTCCTTCTGCCAGCCCAGTAGTATGTACTGATTTAATGTTATTTTATTTAATCTGCATAATTTATGAGAGGGATCTCATCAACTTCACTTCTTAGCTGGTAAAGCTGAGGCTGGAGAGAGTGAATAAACACGTCTAAGGCATGGTAGAATTAGGATCTGAACCTAGATCGGTGTGATGTCTGAAGTACTCTAGCTATTACTGAAGCTCCACTTTCATTTGAAATTTGCTTTTGAGAAAACTCGCCTCTCAACCAGTATACCCTCTCCCAGGAGTGCAGACAGAAATAGCACCTACAATTATGCATAATTGTTGCTGTGGACTCAGGTGTTAAAAGAAGCACCAAAGAAGATCTCAGCAACAGTTGTCACAGTTGTTACAAACTTAGTTGTTCCTGAGTAGAAATATTGAATCTTGCTGCCGAATAGGAGTGTGTTGAGCCTTTCCCAAGACCACGCGGGAGGAACGTGGACTGTTTCCCAGTCTTCCTCGAGCTTGTTCAGTGGCCTTGGGAAAATGCCTTTGGTCAGTATCCTGGAGGGTGAGGGGATGGTGGCACGCAGCACTACTTAGGGCACAGGTGAGGCAGGTGCTGGTTGTTCAGGACTGTGAGGTGAGGACGAAGCACGGTGTTTCCTAGGGCAAGGGACTACCCCGTCCCTGGGCAGCGTGGAGTCCCCGGGATGTGCGGGGATTCCAGGAAGCAGATGACCCTCTGGTTTCCTTTGTAGGAGTGGGAGGTAGTCTGGGATGGATCGACAACCGCATCCCGGAGCTCCGCTGTTTCCACATATCCTAAAACCTGGAAATATGAATTTACTCTAGCTTGGGACAGACTTGGGTCAACACTGACTCTTTGCTGACATTTGCCATTCTTTAAACGCATGGTCATTCAGTTATTTAGGCATCAGTCTGGAACCAAGTCCGGAAATGAGCTTCAGTTACATTTCTTGACTTGGTCCAATTTTTTTTCTTTTTCTTTTTCTAAAACGTGACCTGCTCTGCTCATAGCTAACTTAGAGCTGCTGCAGCGCCATTGCGTCCTGGCCCGGGGACCCCCTCGTCCAGCGTCCCCTCAGGATTGCTTATGTGGCAGAATTTTCAAGAAGCACACGCATCTGGATTGCTGATGTGTAAGTTCTACGTATTCAAGCGCGCGGGTCAGCAAGAATCTTGAAGGTAAATAGTGGCCTCCGGAGAAAGGCCGGGGCGCGTGGGACCCTGGCCAAGCTCTCCCACGATCCATTTCTGTTTTTAACGCAGAACCGGCGCAGCCGGGC